TGACAATGGCGTAAGCAAGAATAGTCGCAGACAGAGACTGTGTCACATGTTAAACCTGAGCCCCCTGTTGTTTTTAAAATACAAGGACTCACGTTCAAAGGGAGGCAGCGTTCTTTGTTTTTGTTATGTGACGTTTGTTGTAGCGTATTAGTATATCCTTTTCACAGTATACACTCATACATACACATATACATGTATACATTATATACATATATACCTAAAACACATGCACAGAATAAAGAGATCAACATCTATATATATGTAAAGTCCAAGCTCGTGCATTTCGCTTGCCAACCGGTGCGTTTGGCTTTTCCAAGAGTGTCTCGCTAAGAGTGTCGCTCCAAGAGTGTCCTTGTAAGAATGTCTCACTGAGAGTGTCTTGCCATAAGGTTAGAACAATGGTTAGTCGCAGCATATTCGGTAGTCACTGGCTTTAGTTCCCCCCTTCTCAGCTATATATTTATCGAAGGAAGTTTAGAAGTCAAACTTCCGACATTTTGGACAGATGGAAAAGCAGAGGTTGGGAAGAGTCAGAGAAGAGAAGAGAAGAAGAGAGAAGATCCGAGAAGAGAAAAAGTCAGAAGAAATAAGGTGCAGGTGCGCGAAAAGGTAGAAAAGTCGCGATTCACTGTGTTTTACCGATGATTTGTGGATCCAGAGGGTCGAAAAGTAGGCTCGCTAAAGCGGCGGGTTGAAAAAGTGCACGCCATTGTGGCACGAAGCACATTTCGAAGTCAAAATAAACAAAGCACACTATGCTCGAAGCACTTTTGGAAGTTGAGATGTCGAAAAAGTGCACGCCATTGTGGCGCGAAGCACATTTGGAAGTGAAAAGTGTAAAAGGCTGGCGATCTCGGACCACTTTTGGAAGTTAGGATGTTGTTTTGCGTGGCATGCGCAAGGGATTCGGCACCTTGCCAAAAGTGAGGAAACCGTGAGGGTTTTGTGGCAGTTTCAAAAACGTTGGCAAGCGTGGGGCATATGAAGAGGATCTGCAAACGCGTGGCAGGCGCAATACAATAGACGTTCGCCAGAGATGTTAGGAGGTCAGGGCAGAGATTTCCTGAGGGGGGTTGCATTTTGGAGCGTTAGATCTTCAGGTTTGCTGAGATGATTTTGCGTGACAGGTGCAGCACTTCGTATGACCTGGCCTCACGTTTTCGTGACAGGCGCAGTACTTTAAACAGATGGAATGGAAGCATTGCAAACTGCATTGGTACGGGCCCGTCACGTTTGCTCTCAATTTTCAATTTTTGAAGGACGTCTCGCAGAATTGCTTCGTTTTTGATGTTGTCAACTTGGCAAATTGAGGTAGTCTCGCAGAATTGCTGCGTTTTTGATGTCGCCAAGGTCAAAAATTGAGGAACCCTTGCAGAATTGCTGCGTTTTTAACGCTCTCAACTTCGAAAATTGAGCAGGTCCCGCAGAATAGCTTTGTTGATAGATAGACAACTACAACCACAACTACAATTACAATCACAACAACCACTACCACCACATTACACTGCTACTGCAATTGCAACTACAAAAATATTACGCTACACTAAGCTACATTAATTACGCTACACTGCGCTAGTTACACTACAACTACAACTACAGCAACTACTACAACCACAGCTACAACCACAGCTACAACTACAATTACAACTACACTACACTACACTACTACGTTACACTACGTTACACTACGTTACACTACGTTACACTACGTTACACTACGTTACACTACGTTACACTACGTTACACTACGTTACACTACGTTACACTACGTTACACTACGTTACACTACGTTACACTACGTTACACTACGTTACACTACGTTACGCTACGTTACACTACGTTACACTACGTTACACTACGTTACACTACGTTACACTACGTTACACTACGTTACACTACGTTACACTACGTTACACTACGTTACACTACGTTACACTACGTTACACTACGTTACACTACGTTACACTACGTTACACTACGTTACACTACGTTACACTACGTTACACTACGTTACACTACGTTACACTACGTTACACTACGTTACACTACGTTACACTACGTTACACTACGTTACACTACGTTACACTACGTTACACTACGTTACACTACGTTACACTACGTTACACTACGTTACACTACGTTACACTACGTTACACTACGTTAGGCTACGTTACGCTATGTTACGCTACGTTACACTACGTTACACTACGTTACACTACGTTACACTACGTTACACTACGTTACACTACGTTACACTACGTTACACTACGTTACACTACGTTACACTACGTTACACTATGTTACACTACGTTACACTACGTTACACTACGTTACACTACGTTACACTACGTTACACTACGTTACACTACGTTACACTACGTTACACTACGTTACACTACGTTACACTACGTTACACTATACGTTACACTATACGTTACACTATACGTTACACTACGTTACACTACGTTACACTACGTTCGTTACTTTACATACAACACAC